TGTTATCTGCTTTCTAGCTGTGATTGGTTGATGGGGATGCTTTCAAGCTGTGATTGGTTGTGCCCATAAGCCCCGCCCCCAATATAGTATATGTATTACAGTACTGGTTAACTTAATAGGTACTTAATTTAAACTTGATCATTACAAACAAAAAACCTGGAAAATTTTCAAAACATCCATTAAATAAAAGAAAAATAGAAAATATCTATCAAAAATGAGACATTCAAACAATTTTATAGCAAATCTGAGGTACTATACAATAGAAACAGTTTGTCCACTTTTGATCCTCCTCTTCATTTATAGTCACTCACCTGACAGACTGCAGAGCACTGTATCTAGCGAAAGCATTCCACCTGGAGTGGAAAGCTTTTTTATAAGTGAACCTCCATTTCTAGAATTCCACCCTGGTGGTGACTCTGAGTCTCTGACTGGCTGACTGAGACTATCGACTGGCAATGGCTTCACTGGCGCAGTTGTCTTTAAAAATCTTCAGATCTTCACTCACAGTCACATCCTCATTTAAAATAATAAGCATAACACATTTTTGCCTGTCAATCATTTTGCTGGCAATTTCAAAAAATTGTGGACACAAATGAAATGACTGAAATGTGCAGTTTTATCTAATTTTTACACCGGCAGAATTGCAAAAATGAGGCAAAGGTCATAAAAACCAGTGAAATCTATTTATTCTATTAATCTAAGTACCTACTGCAAGTACAGACCATTTTCATTTTGTCTCATTTATGAGTTGTTTCTGCCAAATTTCTTATAATAGCTGTTTTTGAAGAAACCTGCCAAGTTTGAGCTCCCAATCCCAATCTCCCCAATCTGACTGTCAGATTCTGACATAGAATATATCTATGTTTTAAGCCCTCACTAGAGCTCTCTGCTCTGCTCGCCTGCCATTTTTGAAACCACAAGATTCCTGGCATTTCCTGCTTGATCAATTGCCCAATTTTGTCTCCTATCTGATTAACAAAAATACAAAAATGTACTACAATATTCCAAATAGGATATTGAAAATTTGTCACTTTAGGGTCCCGAAATTTCAGTAACAAATAGAAAAATTTATACTTAGTCTTCCCTTTGTCTTCAGGCACTGTACAAAAAATTACATGTGACAGCTGTCAATAAGACAATAATGACACCCATCACTCCACTGTCTTCACATGCCAGCAAAAGCCTACCTTATAATAGAATACTCAAATTAAAACAGAAATATCTTTTACCGTCATCAATATTTTCAAATCTGCATTTATTTATTTCCAGGGTCTTTAAGATAAATCTAATTTTTATTCTTAATTTTATAGTTTTTTAGTTCACCATGGCATCTTCTAGTGGAGTTAGCAAGAAAACTGTGGCATACTTCTATGACCCTGATGTTGGAAACTTCCACTACGGTAAGCATGGATATAGCATGACTTAGGATGTCAGAAACTTCCCATACGGTGAGCATGGATGTAGCAAAATTTAGGATGTTAGAAGCTTCCACTACGACTATGGTGAGTATGGATGTAGCAAGATTTAGGACATTGGAAACTTCCATTATGTAGCAAGACTATCCATTTGTTAGGTTCCATAAATATTGCATTGTGTGGCCTTTATTAATGTTGAGTGTCATGCAAGCTTATTGCAGACAGGACTTTAATTAGCTTTGAAGAGAAATTCATAAAAGTTATGAGAAAGTAATAAGTACTGTTAATAAATCAGGCTTCAATAATTTACAGTATCCATGCCTTCTAGTTTCCTATTGAATTTAGGAATTTGGTGTTTCTAAAAATGTTTTGTGTACAATTAGAATAATTGTTTTGCTTATTAAAGAAAATAAGAGAATTGTTAACAAAAAGTACCGTACCTATGCTCTGGTCTTCAATCAAACCTGCATAAATTATAATAATTTAGACATTTTACAGTATATTGATATGAAAGGCATTATAATCATCATATAACATGCATGGTTTATAAATATATTTATGTATGTTCTACCAAAAATATCAAGATAGGTATGTATTGCCAAGAATAGAATAGTGGTTAAAATACATTATAACATGACCTCTAAAGAAGCAATTGTATTTGTTTCCAATTTTTTCATGCTAATTAACATTTTTGGTATTGTTATATTATGCAAACATGACCTAAATCATCATCCACTTGTTCTGTTTTATCCTATTTATTTATATATTTTGTTTTATCCAGGCCCAAATCACCCGATGAAGCCCCACCGTCTTGCCATCACACACAGTCTTGTGCTCAACTATGGGCTGCATAAGAAGCTGCAAGTTTACCGGCCCTATAAAGCAAATTTCCATGATATGACCAGGTAAAATTCCATGAATTATTTTAATGTTGATTTGTGCAGTTGATGGAATAATGTCTAATAATTGATGAATTCCCAAAAAATTTTAATAGTGCTCATTTTTTGTAAGAACCTGACCTCAAAAGTATTCCATTGTGAATTCAATTTTTCTTAAATGTTGTTTCTTCATGTACACTTGTTAACTAAAAAGTTTATAACAAGTTGACATCAAAAGTACTCCATTGTCAATTCAGTTTGTGTTAAATTTTGTGTCTTTCTGTACTCTTGTTTAACTAAATACGATTATAACAAATGCAATTAATTTTGTCTTCTAGGTTCCACTCAGAGGACTATATTGACTTCCTGCAGAAAGTGTCTCCCCAAAATGTTACAAATTACACCAAAAATCTTGGACAGTTTAACATGGCAGATGACTGGTGAGAATTTAATGTTACTTTTGTTATGAATGAATTAATGATTTGATTATGAGCATAACAAAATAATTTCTTGCAAAGGTTTTACTACTGAGTACTNTCTAACTCATTACACTTGTACACAGCCCTGTGTTTGAAGGCCTGTATGACTTCTGCTGTATGTACACTGGAGCTTCACTACAAGGAGCCGTCAAACTCAATAACAAATGCTGCGACATTGCAGTCAATTGGTCTGGGGGACTCCACCATGCCAAGAAGTTTGAAGCATCAGGCTTCTGTTATGTCAATGATATCGTCATTGCTATTCTAGAACTGCTTAAATATCATGCACGTGTTCTATATATAGACATAGACATTCATCATGGCGATGGTGTACAGGAAGCCTTCTATCTCACTGACCGAGTCATGACGGTCTCCTTCCATAAATATGGCAATTATTTCTTTCCAGGCACTGGTAAGCATAGATATTAGATTTAATTCATAGAAATGAAATAAGATTTAACCTGTTCTGAGTACTAGCTCTCAAAATTATTACAAAAATAGTAAGCATAAATTCATTTAGAAACAATTCATTTCACCTTCTGAGGATCAAGTTCTATATATTATGTCCCCTATTGTTGAATATAAGAAGCATTTGACCAAGAGAGTTAAATTAGTCAAGAGTTACCTATATGTATAATAGGTGTTGAGCGGTGTACTTCTTATAACTTATGATGTCCATAGAGCATGTGTACCTAGCTGAATATTTGTATTCATTCATGTATGACCTTGCCTCACTCATGTATAACCAAGCATCACTCAATATCCTCTAACTTGTGTTTGCATCAAGTAGACAAAGGTTTACGAAAATGTTGTTTGCACCTCCAGGAGACATGTTTGAAATCGGCCACGACAATGGACGCTACTATTCTGTCAATGTTCCGCTGAAGGAAGGCATTGATGATGCAAGTTACATACAAGTTTTTAAGCCTGTTATCGAGGTGAGTTTTACCATGGCTCAAGAAGCCAGAAAATTTTGTTGATGAAATGATTCCTACTAAAATCATGTCAATTCATTGACAAATTTTATTGTTTACATGGTGCTAGGTATGTGAGGCTTACATAACTTATTTGTCTATAATTATATCAATAATTTTCTCATTGTACAGAGCTTAATAAAATTGTTGTGTGGAGATGTTAAAGAATTTTTGTTGGGCAGAGCGTGATGCAGTTCTACCAGCCCACCGCAATTGTGCTGCAGTGCGGTGCCGACTCCCTCAACGGGGACAGGCTGGGTTGCTTCTCACTCTCCACGCGCGGTCACGGGTCGGGACTTCATTAATTGCCTTCATATATAAACCTTCCTCTGATATTTCGTCTTCATTCCCACCGAGTGCCTTTGTATATGCACCTTCCTCTGATATCCCTTGTCTTCATTCCCACCGAGTGCCTTTGTCTCTAAACCTTCCTCTGATATTCCCTGTCTTCATTTCCACCAGCTGCCTTCGTCTATAAACCTTCCTCTGATATTCCCTGTCTTCATTCCCACTGAGTGCCTTTGTCTCTAAACCTTCTGATATTCCCTGTCTTCATTCCCACTGAGTGCCTTTGTCTCTAAACCTTCCTCTGATATCCCTTGCCTTCATTTCCACCAACTGCCTTTTTTATATAAGCCTTCCTCTAACTTCCCCTGTACTCATCTCCACCGAGTTTCTTTTTATATGAACCTTCCTTGAATGTCTTCATCTCTGCCCACAATGAAGTATTATTATCATCGTTTGCATTTACAAAAAGTTCGCTATAGTAGATGCAGTAAGCTCAGTGACATACAGGTTTTATCTCGGACGCTCAAAATGATTATGAATGTTTTAATTATTTGAAGAAAGTGTCTGTCATTGTGCATGTACCTATCTCTACCTGGTAGGATCTGGTAGGATGGTAGGATCCAATGTTAACCTTTCCTACATAGTGATCTAGTTATAACCAATAGACTCCTGCGTTTGGTTTTTTTATTCGAGACGAGACAACAGGCTCTGTCCCGCTTCGCAATAAAAACCGGGACAATTTTCAGCCCTCCGTAGAAATTCCGGGACGATACCGAGACGAGACGTAGCATCCCGGTTAAAATAGGTACCTTAAAATTTCCCGGAATTTATAGCCATTTTAACGAGACGAATCAATTATTGATGTGGTGTAAACTTCGGATTACCATCATACATTTATACAGAGCTGGGCAGCGCTACTTTGAAATGTTGCGGCCGCTACCGCTACATGCTCAAAATGTAGCGGCCGCTACCGCTACAATTGCTTAAATGTAGCGCCGCTACCGCTACCGCTGCAAGTGCTTAAATGTAGCGGCCGCGGCCGCTACCGCTACAATTGCTTAAATGTAGCGCCGCTACCGCTACATGTAGCGCGCTACTGCCCACCTCTGCATTTATATAATAATTTAAGACGTATCCTTTTACTATTCTGATTGAAGCTCGGCAATTGAAATGATTTTTGCTACGAATACATGTTGTGGTGTAATATGGTACTTAATCTTGACAGGCAAATAAAAATGGAAAAACACTTTTTTTTAATTGTGTTCTATGATGGTTTGTAGGAGGCCATACTAGCTGTAGCTGGTGACATCGGCTGACTGGACAGACTTTGATTTGCCTCCAGCTCAATCACAGAATCAGATGCATCGATCTTGCCTGAAGCAATCTCCTTCAACAAAAAGTTTGGAAAGAAATTTCAACAATATTTTAAAATACAACAAAATTTAAGTTGGGAAAAATATAATAGTTTGATCTTCAAAAAAGAACTCGAAATATCCATGTGTATTCTTTCTAAATAACGTTAAACAAGCCCAAGTGTTGATAACAATTCAGGAAACTGCGCAATTGTGAAGATTTTCTGGAGGCGTAGCACAAAATTTTACTAAAGGCAGAGATAATCTAATACTAGCTTCAATATTATTAGGAATATCTTACCAGGACTCCACTCCACTGTCTACTAATTGGCCGACTAATCCAGACACTGCGTCCCTAACTCCACATGCGCTCTATGGCGCCTGAACTCGTTCCGAACGCGTAATAAACTCGACTCATATTCGTACGGTTCCCATAAAGTGCCATCGAAATTGACCTTTTAGGCAATTAGAAAGATTTTCCACCCTAATACAAGTATTGTAATTAAAATATTTTCTCATAACTTAAGTCTCGTTTCAAGTCGTATGAGGTTTGTTTGGTTATCGTTCAGTTTATGTTTAGTATTGGTTTATTGGTCTGAATTAAATGCTGTACTGACATGTTTGCCGGGTCTAGCCACAAAGAATATCATGTCACGTGGGGACAAGGGTTACAAATCTTGTGTCACGTGTTGCCACAGTAACTAATTATCATAAATCGTCACGTGTGGGGGCTTCACTCGAACATTTGTGCAGGGAGTGTGTGAGCTTCGCTCGAACATTTGTGCTGGGAGTGTGTGAGCTTCACTCGAACGTTTGTGTTGGGAGTGTGTGAGCTTCACTCGAACGTTTGTGCAGGGAGTACGTGAGCTTTACTCGGACGTTTGTGCAGGGAGTGCGTGAGCTTCACCAAGAGCCTTGGTCTGCCAGTGCTGGTGCTGGGCGGCGGGGGCTACACGCCCCGCAACGTCGCGCGCTGCTGGGCATACGAGACCGGGCTGCTGGTCGACGCTGAAATGCCCACTGAGATCCCCTACAGCACGGGTGGGTTATGGGTGGATTTTCCTCTTTAGCATGGTTTAGTTAGGTTGGGTCTCCTAAGCATAGATTGGTTAGACATGGGTTGGTTAGAGTGGGTCTTCCCCTACAGCCCGGGTGAGTATCCACCTACAGCTCGGGAAGGTTTCCTGCAGCACAGACGAGTCTCCCATTACAGCACTGGTCAGTCACTCCCTGCAGCATGGCTGATTATCGTATAACATTAAATGAGACGAGCATGATGACGTGGTAGTTGAACCAACGCTCCTCCTTCTGCGGCCATGTTACTTTCCTGTCATGTTCTTTTAACTAGTTTAGTATTGCGGGAGAAATTTATGAGTTTTATTTCAAAAGTAGAAATAAGACTACTAGGGCATTTTTGTGTGTGTGCAGTTTATCTAGTAATACAATTCTATTGTACATTGTACTACCTTGTGTTGCAGAGTATTGCCAATACTTCTCCCCGGATTTCTCCCTGCACCCCGACGTGATCACGCGGCAAGATAACGGCAACAGCCGCCAGTACCTGGAGGCCATCGTAGCGCACACGCGCGACAACCTGCGCATGATCCAGCACGCGCCCAGGTACGCATGATCCAGCACGTGCCCAGGTATGCATGATCCAGCACGTGCCCAGGTATGCATGATCCAGCACGCGCCCAGGTATGCATGATCCAGCACGTGCCCAGGTATGCATGATCCCGCACGTGCCCAGATACGCATGATCCAGCACGTGCCCAGGTACGCATGATCCAGCACGTGCCCAGGTACGCATGATCCCGTACGTGCCCAGGCATGCAGCCTGCGCCCAAGTACTACAGCTTGATCACAATCGATCAATTTGTGCATGAAACGAGCAATTTCTGCTGTGCCATGGAATAGGCTCTCGATATAATCGGCCATCCTTTGGTAACACTAGATCCTAATGAAGGGCGTTTCCAGTTGAGTGGAGTGAACACAGATTTGAAATAATATCGTGAAATTATTGAATAAACTTTTTTCAGAATTTTATAATAATAAAAGTTATTGACAGACTTCAAATGATGTACGTCTTAGATGACGGTTAGCAGCAGCTTTGTTTTTAAATGTGGCGAATCAGTCGCTGCTGAATTCGGATGAATCAGTCACTGCTGACTGCTACGGTCACTGCTGACTGATAAGGCTGGCCGTAGTGTGCAGATGCAGGAGGTGCCGGCTGACGGGCTACGGCTGGGGGAGTGGCAGCCTGAGCGCGACCCCAACGAGCGCCTGCACCTCAGGGACGAGGATGCCAGGTGCGCTCACTCATACTTCTATACTTATAATATACTTATAAGTTGCTTATAAGTATTATTATATAATATTCTTCTATACTTATAAATTGCTTATATTTATATTCACTTATACTTATAAGTGAATATAACTATAAGTGCTTAACTTATATTCACTATATTCATTATTATGTTATATATTATGTTATAACTTCTTTAAGGCTGTTGCTTCTAATACGTTATTTACTCATAACTTCTTTAATGCTGACGCTTAAGATACGCTATTTACTTAAAAGTTTACAACTCCTGTAGTACTGATACCCCTGATTATGGGTTACCTCTGAAGTTATGCATCCTGTTATTATTTTTTTTTTCTTTCTTACTTCAATTTGTTTGTTCATTCTTCCTAATTCTATTTATTTTTCCCTGCTATATATTATGTATTTTCTTGAATCAACATATTAACATGGTACACTTTTTCTCTATCCCCTAACTTTACGACATAATCTACTTTATTAAGTTTCCTAACAATTTCGTAAGGTCCCTTCAATATATATCAAGTTTACTTTTATTATATAATGGCATTATGCAGTTGTTCATGGTCGAACAAACATTGTAACGTCAGAAAAATTGTCTGCATTGAGAGAAACATTTTTCCCTGCAAGAGATGTTCGCTTCACCGCACAGGGATCGCGTAATTAGTTTCGTCGGCTTCACGTTTGGTTGAGACTTGATTGCCATGACAGACTAAGATAAATTGTCTGCTGTTCCGTGATAGACTTAAATTATCTATTCTTTCTCAGTCTTACATAATATTTACAATTTTCTTAGCTTCATACTCGAAGTTCATTGCCCCCGAAATGCGTAAAGGTAAACCAATTTTGATGCACTCCAAATTACAAACAAGTTTCTCGATATTCAACGAATCAACCATCGAACAGATAACCTGGCCACAGATGCATACCTCACCACGTCGCTCTGTGGCGAGGCTATCAGAGATTTTCAGCACGAAACGCTCATAAAACGACATCTCGAGGCTAGCAAAAGAAAGCACAGGGACGAGGACGCCAGGTGCGCTCAATTATCCTTCTTCAGTTGCTTTTGATTGACTTATATTCACTATAGTCATTATTTATGTTATATATTATCTTTATATCTTATAACTTCTTTAAGGCTGTTGCTTCTAGTACGTTATTTACTTATAAATTCTTTAATGCTGACGCTTCTGATACGCTATTTACTTACAACTGCTATAATACTGATACCCCTGATTATGGGCTACCTCTGAAGTTATGCATCCTGATATTCATTTTATTTTTCTTCCTTACTTCAATCCTGAATTTCCTGATATAATTTTTTTTCTTACTTCAAGTGGTTTGTTCATTCTTCCTAATTCTACTTATTTCTCCCTGCTATATATTATGTATTTTCTTGATCTACTCCCTGTCTAAATTTTTCTCTGTTGTTTTTATTCAATACTCTCCTTCCTGTTGCCCTGCTTGTATGTATCACGCGTCACTGTTGCGCTGTTATGCGTGCAGGGTGGAGCCCGACAACGAGTACTACGACGGTGAGAAGGACAACGACCACAACGACATCACCGACGCCAAGAACTGACGTGCATAAACCCTGCTGTTCGGTCGCCCCACGGTCAGAACTGATGCATTTTCTGACGCTCGGTCGCCCCGCCCTCAGAACTGATGCACCTCCTGGCCCTCGGTCGCCCCGCGCTCAGAACTGATGCACCTTCTGACGCTCGGTCGCCCAGCGCTATATCTGATGCAGCTTCTGACGCTTGGTTGCCCCCGCCCCACGGTCAGAACTGATGCATCTTCTGACGCTCGGTCGCCCTCGCCCCACGGTCAGAACTGATGCATCTTCTGACGCTCGGTTGCCCTCGCCCCACGGTCAGAACTAATGCATCTTCTGACGCTTAGTTGCCCCCGCCCTACGGTTAGAACTGATGCATCTTCTGACGCTTAGTTGCCCCCGCCCCACGGTCAGAACTGATGCATCTTCTGACGCTTAGTTGCCCCCGCCCTACGGTCAGAACTGATGCATCTTCTGGCGCTCGGTTGCCTCGCGTGCAGAACTGATGCACCTTCTGGCGCTCAGTCCAAGATCGCTCCATTGTTTATACCGCAGTTGTTAATAGGTTATGGGGTCGCTCTATGTCCATATTCTGCTGTGACATAGCTTTTTTTACCGTATGCATCAGCTGGGACTTTTTTGTGAGTCTCCCCATGTCCCTGCCCCAGCTTAGACTTTTTAATATCCTATATCCATGCCACAAGTAAGCTATTAGGGTGAGTGGGCTTGAGGAGAGGCTTGGCAATAATTAGTCAAGTTCATTCTACTGAGCAGCTTCTATCGAAAACAGGGAGAGTCGTTCCTGTGCGGGAATGACTCGCATTCATATTGAATGCCAGTCATTCTATGTTAATTTATTCAAGATCTCGCATCCATATCATGCGAATGTTGATCTCATTATCATTACTAGGAATTTGTCTTGAAGCAATATACTGTTGGATGCGTTGGGCCTAACGTTGAATTCCTTGCACTACTGTACATTGTGTCACGTTTATGTGGCTTGGTACCAGCGATTAAAGGGGAAAGTTGTGAGTTGAAAACATTGTCATAGAATAATTGGAGGTGAAATCTAACTTGCTTTGGGTTTTTATGTGATGCCCAGGCTCGGTACAACTGATAAATTAAGTATTTTAATTGTTCACTTATCGGTGCAAGTTTCGGTGACCGTCTTCAGGTGAACATCGATATTCTCTTTACTATATTATGTTGATACAGAATCGCCCGTATTTCTCACCCGTTTTATGTTTAAAAATATAGTGAGGCTATTGAAACTACTTAACACTATTCAACATGACTGCAGTTGTGTGTATGGCTCGATCCATACACACAACTATGTATAGGTAGTTGCAGACTCGATCCTGTTTCCTGCGCAGGCCTCTTTTCGAAGCATCAAGTAAGAAGGTTCTGTCTAGTTTCAAACTTTTATTACTGATTGCATTTCAAAATATGCAAGCTCAAAAAAGTGCAGGTGACTAATTTACATTGTTAGAATGTGTACTTCCCATCGCATTCGTCTTCATTTTGTTTTGGTTCGGTAGGGGAATTTTTGATGAAGTTTTTAATTGTACATTGTTTCTTATTTGTACATTTCGTCTTAATTGTACATAATAAGGTCATTGTAAATGAAAATGTATTAGTTTCATGTAATTCTGACTACGGTTATGTCGCTGATTATGAGTGTGAGAAAAATATGTTTTTAATTACAAAAATGTTCATTAAAATTTATTGCTTCTTGACCGGCATGATTGCTAAAAATATGTGTTTTATATCCTTCTAAATGACATAACTAAAAGTTTGGTAAGTTATTACAAGTGCATAGCCTTGTCTAGTCAGTTCTTTGACGCGTTCACACTAGAAGCGTCAACAATATCCTCAGAGAGGCCCTTCCACATGTCGGTGACTGGAATAAGTAATGTCGTATAGTGTTGTCACCGCCTTATTTTCATAGCCGTGGCCCCTGGTGTTGGTTCTTGTTTCAAATTCTAGTAATCATTCTGGGACCTTGTATAAACCATGAGTATACTTGTATACTTCAATTAGGTCACCACGCAGACGTCGATAACTGAGGCTTGGAAGCTTCATAATCTTCAATCTTTCTTCAATAGCAGAGGCCCTCATCATTAAGGAGAGGACTCCAGCTATCAACCTTCAAACCACCGGCTTCGTCAGAACTTTGAGATTGTTTTCCGAGTAGTTTTTTGCGCCTGTAAAATCTTCCTGTAGTATCACAATAACGAAATTTTAGCATTATTTGAATGGTATCCAATTTACTTGGTTTCGTTCATATGTCAACCCGAATTTTGTTACTCTATGCGTCTTTAACTTGAAAATGAATGTACATTCGAAACGTCGATCAATATTAAAAATGTCTATCGGTAATTTGATTTTCAATCTTCCAACACCTACGAAGAATTTAGTACGACTTATTGAAAAAACTAACAAGAAGCTAATAAATAAAACTAATTCTCAGGTCTTTAACAAAACTTGCTTAAGAGAAGAAATTCTGCCAGCCTATACTAATAAGGTAATTGTAAATGAAAATGTATCAGTTTAATTTAATTCTGACTACGGTTGTATCGCTGATCATGAGTTTTAGAAAAATATGTTTTAAATTACAAAAATGCTCATTAAAATGTATTGTTTCTTGACCGGCATGATTGGTAAAAATATGTGTTTTATATCCTTTTAAATGACATAACTAAAAGTTTGGTAAGTTATTACAAGTGCATAGCCTTGTCTAGTCAGTTCTTGGACGCGTTCACACTCGAAGCGTCAATAATATCCTCAGAGAGGCTCTTCCACATGTCGGTGACTGGAATAAGTAATGTCGTATAGTGTTGTCACCGCCTTTTTTATAGCCGTGGCCCCTGGTGTTGGTTCTTGTTTCAAATTCTAGTAATCATTCTGGGACCTTGTATAAGCCATGAGTATACTTGTATACTTCAATGAGGTCACCACGCAGGCGTCGATAAATGAGGCTTTGAAGCATAACCTTGTTGCAACCATGTCTTCTCATACTGGAATCTTGCTGTTCATTTTTCTTGCCGAAGTGAAGTACTTTACACTTGTCCGCATTAAAACGCAGCTGCCACATATCAGCCCAGTTAACTAAACTATTAAGATAGTCTTGTAATTGCACTTTATTTGACGCATTCTAAACTGTATTATGAACTTTTTAACTTCCACTACTCCTGGCAGATAGTTTATAGAAGCAACGAACAAAACCGGCCCAAGAACTCGTGGCACGCCACTGCGCACTGATGCCCAGTCTGATACGGTTCCGTTAATACTGACACGTTGTCGCCTCCCTACTAGAAAATCTCTGATCCATTGGAGTACGTTTCCCTCAAATCCCAAAGACTTCACATTACTGATTACGCAACAGCCGCTCATGCGGAACACTGTCAAATGCTTTGGCAAAACCGAAGTTTACTGCATCCATGGTTGAACTATATTCAACCATGCACTGCATCCACTGGCTAATTTTCGTTAATAATAGATTTTTTTTCGTGTAGGATCTACCGGCAATAAAGACATGTTGACAATCTGATAGGAGATGGTGAACAGTCAAATGGTCGATAATCCTATCCCTCGCGGCAGATTCCATTACCTTACAAACAACTCTTGTCAGAACAGACTGACAGGGCGATAGTTACCCGGGTAACTATCGCTGGCCGCGATAGTTACCCCTTTCTAAGCGGCCAGCAAAGTCCTTGCGTTCAAGATTTTTTTGAAAGGATGCTATCAAAATTCTGGCCAGGACGGTTGCCATTTCTTTGAATAATCTAGGGAGGAAACCGTCTGATCCTCGAGCCCACTGGGCGCTCCTCGACAGCTGGAAAACTACTGTTCAAGTCCTCATTTGTGAAGACGCTGCTAAAGAACTGATATATAAACGTTATAAACGGTAACCTTCCCGCTTCTCTCGTTGATCGACTTTCAAATTAGCAATACCGGCATATGTCTTATACACTTCAAACTAGCATATAATAGAAAAGCTGTTGTTTTTTTCGAATTTCTGGCAATACCTTTTTAAAAGTTTTTATAAGCGAGGCGACAAGTTTTTTAACTTTTCATAAAGCTCCGGCGTATCAGCAAGGGCTTACTTGCGAGTTGATGACATTTGTTAATTGAAAAACTATTGCTTATTTCATTTTTCACGCAGATTCTTGTTGTCATAACTCAGCTATATGAATTCGACCGTGAAATTTCTAGTGACTGAACGCAAAGCGTCCGGCGAGTCCGTGTCGTCATGGACTTGGCTGGCCGCTGGAGCTGGAGTGAGTGGAGTCGGAACTCAGAAGTGCCTTGGTGGGCGTGAAGTGAGGGTGTGTGTAGCTCTCTCAAGAGGTGGTGTTATTGTGATAAAATAACCTTATGTTGTGGTATAACTCATAACGGATTATTAGTTTCATTCGCTCATCGGATACTTCAGAATTGCCAGCGTAATAGAGGTATGAATTATTTACTGCTTTAAGGAATGTTGAACCAAAATATTTGATGTAGCTTGGAGGAGCGGGTCGCTGTCTGCACAGGAGGATGACTTCTTAGCGGCGTCCAAGTCGCTCGTGCTGATCCGACTTTGGCAGTTCCAGTGACCCGGGTTGCCTACTCAACTGCTGCCTGAAACTTTGATTCAACAACACTTGGATTATGCTTTAAAACTTTGACCGGTTCAAAAAATTTATTGTTAAATATAGGCGGATTAAACAGCTGCTTGCAACTTAGGCTGGTATGAAAGAGTAGAATAGAAGTGTCGGCACTGACAAAAAGGCCCATGGCCTGTTGCCGATTCTTGAATTTTTCGTGACTTAACTCACAAGGAATCCGGCCTTTGGAACCCGATCTTTCCACACTGATGTTTAATCGAGATAGCTGCTGGACTTCTTGCAAGGCTCGTAGGTTATTGGGCTCCTCGTAACGGTAAGGAAAGGAACCCAATAGGCTGAGCTATGCGTAACTTCGTAAGACGATGTCCTGGCTCGGAAGATTTTTTTTTATCTACGTTATAAGATGATGTCTGTTGGTTATTTGATGAATGTAAATTTCTTTAGTTATTTGAATTTGATTCTGGTCATCACTCTGCTTAATCCGAAAATCTAGTGGGTGTTGTGATCATATACTTTACTACGGTAACTATAGTGTTCATCTACATTCTACAAGATCTGTCACAGAATTCTGTCAATACTAATAACGTGTGCAGGGCAGGGTGGCCGCGTGGTTACAGTTCACTGTACAAGATCACTAGGATTCCAGCAGCGAGTTGCGGGTTTGATCTCATCTTGCCGTGACAGTTATGGTCAAAATTGGCAAGGTGGCCGGGCGGTTGAGAATAGAAAGCTTGGAGCTGTGAGTTGGTGGTTCGAAAACCCAAACTGTAACAATTCCGACACTCCTATTACTATTATTACTTTGTCGACCTGCAATAATAACATCGACTCCTTCTGGCACACCGGCGTCAGGTGTTATCTGTGAACAAGGCACGAAAAGGAAAAGAATCGGCGACAGGCCACATCAGGCCTACACTTCAGCGCCGAGATCAATATATTATGTTATATGTTAAGTAGATAGGTAGCAGGTCCTAGTAGATCTGCGGCGACTCCAACGCGTTTTGGTGTTCGTGCTGAGAATTTGATAACGTTCTGTGGTGCGTGTTGTGTTGGGTCGCATACCTGACGCTTGGTTGTCTTCATGAGCGTACGGCGCTGCTACTGAGTCCTCAATTTTAGGAAGCTTATCACGTTGATTCCTCCCGCAATCAAACTTCAAAATCTGAAAAAAGCTGGAATAGAGCACCGAGTCGCGTGTTCTAGCCCGGCAACAAGCTTTGGAAATTCTGCGATGTTCAGAATCGGCGACAATCCTGATCCCCTAATCTTATTCTTAAATTTGCAAAATGTTTTAAACTACAAAAACGCCCAAAAA